CGCGTTTTCGACTGCGCCTTTTACTCAGTTATTTAACATATTTCTTGTTGTTGTAGTTACGCCTTTTGCTCGCAATCGTTGCCGCGCGGGCCATGGGCCGTGGCCCGTGGTCTGGAATGAATTATGTGCACTTCTCACGGCAAATAATTATTTTCGCTCAGTGGCAAACAGAACTGCCAACTGGCATGCGATTTTTAGGCCATTTCAGTAGCTGCAGTTGATTTTCGTTTTTGTTTTCAATGTTTTTCGAGCTCTTATCGCCGAGCCAACACTTCCTCCCACTTAATTTCTCACACCCCTGCCAGTCTGTAGTTCATTATGCGAACTTTTTTTTTTGTGCTTTGAAAATTGTTTGACTGCAGGGCAAAACGGCAACAAAAATGCCGGCACGTCGAAGCCAAGACGGAGGGTGATTCCGGTTGTTTTTTTTTTATTTTATTTCTTTCTTTCCACCCCCAGAAAAGGTGTCGAGCAAAATTACAAAAAATTGCGAGCTATTGCATGAAATGTTTTAAATATGCGCATTTGTTATGTTCCCAGCGCAAACATTAAGTGAAAGGCGGCAGAAAAAATGTGAAACAAAAGAATTTTAATAAGTTTTTCTTACTCGGTTTAATTATGCAAACGTTTGCCACGATTCTTGTTTGTCGATAATAAACAAAACAATTATTGCTCTGCATTAAGGAGTCAAAGCAGGCTTCAAATGTATATAAAACAAAGTCTTGACATAATAATTAAATTTTTGCTCTTCTGGCTGGAAACCTTACAATACTTGCCAGCAATAAAACGAAAAGGAATATCCAAGTCAATGAGAAAGCACGCTTAAGCCAAACCAAAATGATCTCAGTCAACAAAATGGGTTCAGTTTTGGTTTTGGCCAAGTTTGAAGATTAGTTGGGATATTTTATAGGGACTGGTCACCTAACAAGTCAAAATATATCACAATTTTGGCATTGTTTTTGATTTTTGGTTTTGATAATGTAGTCTTTTTATATTCTTGTAGAGCATATTATATAATAATTTCATGAAATATGTAACGCATAAAAGAATATATCCCTGACGGCATAAAGTATATATATATTCCAGGTTAGCATCAAAAGCCGAGTTGATATAGCCATGTCCGTTTGTCCGTCTGCCTGTTTCCGTGCGAACTAGACTCTCAGCTGTCGTCATAAAACTTTGCATTGGCCCAGCTTAAATTGTTCTGTACAGTACAGGCAGTACGGCCCGGACAACAATATCGTATAGCTGCCAAAGAAGGCTCTTGTAAGATAAACTTTTTTGTTAACCTAGATATCTAAACCAAACTCGGCATTTATTAATTTCACTATGCACCTCCTAAACATGCATAAGCTTGTTAACATCGGATCGCCATATCATATAGTAGGAAGGATCGGTCGAAAACTAGGTTCTTGTATGGCAAAATATTCTGTTGTCGAAGATATTCATCAAACTCAGCATTTGCCAGCTTCCCTCTACTCACATATTTGCAGAAGCCAAATGTCTAAAAAGGTATTAAAACTTTCTTTGTATGGCCAAAACTTGACCTTAGTCATCAAAGTTATGAAAGTTTGTAGGCTATGCAAGGTCTTGAATGTTGTTGCATATATGAAATTGTATGAATGAGAGCTTTACATGCAATTTGCATAGCAATCAAAACAATAAATAAACAACAGTGAGTATTGTCTTAAAGAAAACAACAAACAAGGTTGACAAACTGCAGCAGCTTTAATAAAATTTAAATATCTCACAAATTTTCGAGGAAAGTACAACAACAAGACAAGATATGTGTGTGTGTGTTTACGAAACATGCAAACTATTGATTAAAACTTGTGCAATTTTATGGCCCCATAAAATTTGTCTCAGCCAAAAATGGAGCAAAGGCAGCAGCAGCGCAGCAGGAAAGAGCTGACCGACAGGTCGCCCGGCGACTCAATAGAGAAGTCGGAGTTCTGGCCAGGCAAATTTAAGAAGACGTGGCACAAAGTAAAACTATTTTATATGCGACGACAGCAACAAAATAATGTGACTACCTTTTCTTGATGGAGCTGGGCTAGCTCGTGATCTAGCCGGGGTGCAGTGTCTGGGCACGCCGGCTGGCATTACCCCAAGCAATAAATGTTTAAAATCAATTGAAGCGTTTTGCTAAAGCCTCACACCCAAGCTCGAAGGGGACGACCAAGGGGAATGCGCACACATAAATCGAATGCACGAATAAGTAGATTCCTGGGCAGCTTAAGGCAGCGATTTGCTATGCCCAAAAATCGATAGGGGTTGCCCACAAAAAAAAAAAACAGAAGAATTGAGGAAAATGGGCAACGGAAAATGTCAACTAATTTTGAATGTCGAGCAACTGCAACGAGCTGACAAGAAAGCAGCAACAGCAGCGGGAGCCGAAGCATCGCCAGTCAGAGATGTTGCTCATACGCAGTGCGGGCCCACGGCGCAGCGGCTTGTCCCACATTCGGGCGGCTAGAAATCGGGGAGAAGCAATAAAACGCAATTCGGTCATAAAAATAGTCGAACGTCGAAACGAATAAGTGTAGAGAACATGGAACATGCCTGGCTCGGGCTAACAACTGCCCCTGGGCTGTCGTCCTGGGCCCGTCGTCTGGCGTCATGGCAAATTGCGAATTTTGCATATTGCCAGTAGCCAGTCAGTAGTTTCCCCTCGCCCCCCACCCCCCTCTCCCCTCTGCAGCACTTTTGGCTTGCTTTACTCAGTCTGTCGCTCCCTCTGGTGTTACCCACAAGCGACCCTCTTCCCGGGGCCATTAGTCATTTGGCCAGGCCAACGCTTTGGCGTGTCGCCACTTTGCAGGATGAATGACCCCGGCACAGTTGCTGCCCCTCCTCACACCTTTAGCACCGCCCCACCCCCCACATGTGCCGTCGACGACGACGACGACGACGACGACGATTTTCCGCAGCGGAAATTGCACACACGTCGCTGGCCAGCAACTATTTTCCATGGAAGACATTCATATCGGACTTTGCCAGTCTACCAATCGTCCAAACTAAAGCTTGTATTTAAAACGAACTAATCAAATCGGTTTTTGAGTATGTAACATAAGTAAGAATATTTAAATGTAATTAAATGTCTTTTTTATTATTAAAAATTGATGTCATTAAATGTTTGCTTTCCACTCGCAAATATTGATAAAAACTGACAGCTTTCCAATACATTCATATGAATAAATATGTGGAATCAAAGCATAAAGCCGACTTCACGACTGTAGAAAAGCAGGCTGAAGAAAGCAGGTTTAATGGAAAGTCAACGGATCGAGCTCCATATTGAAATATATACCTTTATTCTTTAATAAGAGACTCAGCTTGATATCTCGCAGACAATTAATATGTACACATATACACATATTATTTAAGCCCGTTGGTTCAAGTCTTGTTTGGTTAAATGAAAACTCATGCCCTTAATAATTTTCTGTTTTCTGGCTTAAAATAATTATTAATTTTAATGCCGCGGCGCATTAACAAATTGTGCACTCAGCCGAACTGTTTGCCTTGTAATTTATACAAAAAATATAAAAAACAAAAAAGAAAACAGTGCAAAGATAAATATTTTTATTAAAATTGTAACTGTTGCTGCTGTTTATTGTTGTTGTTGTTGTTGTTGCTGTTTTATGCATTTCACGTTTAATTGATTTTTGCATTCGAGTGCATCAAAGATTCATGCATGTGCAATTAATGACATTTGCGATATGCGAATTGTGCAGAGTGCAAACTGATATTTATGTATATGCATATTTCAGGTCAGAGATTTCTGATAAATTAACATTAATTATTGAAGCAAATTGAAGAACAATTGACAGAGCGTATTGTTGCATAGAGTTTTGCAACATTTGTATTAACTTTAATTAAGCTACAATTACATGGTTTGAGAAGAATATGCTGAGTAGTTATTGTTAATCTTTGATTATGGTTTTTCAGCTGGGAAACTAATGCACATTTTAAACTGAACTGTAAAAATATTTACTTTTATTTTGAAGATACTAAGCTTGATGGAAGCTGAATTCTTTCAAAAATAAAATTAGAAAATTAATATAAAATATAAAGGTATAGGTAGAGTTGAAAGTTATAAAGCTTAAAGTGAGGTGATAAATTATTAAGAAATCTATAATTGAAAGTATAAATTTGTTAACTATTTCATTCAAATTAGTTCGTAATTAATTCACGTGCACTGCGTCCTGCTGTGTCTTTCGTGCCACTCACTGGAAAATCAGCTTGATATCTCTTGGTCCAGTCAGTCCAGGCTAGTATCAAGAGTCTAACCCACAGCTGGGAAAAAATGAGTTCCGTCGATAGGACTCGAACTCGTAACAGATCAGACTACTTGTCCTCAACAGCCATGGCACCAATTGACCGTTAGCGAGATAAAAACGAATTTAAACAGCAACACATACACACAGTACAGAATACAATACATTCGCAATCGCAGTGCTGGTAATAGAATTCGAAGAAGACGCGCATGAATGTGTGTGTGTGTGTGTACATGTATACAGAAATTCTTGCAATTTGTGCTTGCTGTCCCAAACTCGTGGCCAGCCAAAACATGGTTTCTTTAATAACTTCTATGTTTCTTAACCGATCTTGATAAAATGTTCAACAAATTTGAAGTCTCTAGCTCTTGTATGCTAGGTTCTGATATCCTCATATCCGTTCATACATACGGACAGACGGAGGGGCAGACGAACATGGCTAGATCGGCTTAGCTATTGATGCTGATCATGCTTCGTTCTGCCTGTTAAATACATTTGCACAAATACATTATACGCCTTTTACCCATTTACAGGGTACAGGTATAGGGTATAAAAAAGTTAGAAAAAAAGAAGTAACGAAATTTGTATAAAGTATACAGAATATTAAGTAAAAAGGGTTAAGACATAGTGATGGGAACTGACCAACGCGATGGGGGAAATTAAAAGCCTGCCCGGTAAGCTATGTCCCTAGTTATTAAGCTCTAGGAGTTAACAATCATTTTTGTTACAGTTTTAAATAAAAATATAACAAATGGGAGTTTCAAAATTTTATGTATATAACCTGTTAGTCTTGCTATTATTCGTCGAACAGTCAGTCTCAGGTTATGACCAGTTGTGGAACAATGACAATGAGTTTGCTTCGAGAGAAAGGAACTGCCGTACTCTCTACAAGCGGCGCTCAGCTGCGAGCATGAATAGCTTTTCCATGGCACCCTCGGACATGTCCCAAGTCCATGCTCGAGGTGATGAGCCTGCACCCAAGACACAGAGTGACAACTCTAGCCAAAACTCAGACACCAATGATAAGGACAAGGGTGAATTCCACTTTCTAGTAACCGGCGGCTATCGCCACGAAAACGATGACCTGGTTAAATTTTTAGTTTCGATACGACATGGCAAAACGTATAAGTTCTTTGGCGACAACCATTATTGTGGCGGCTGTTTAATATCTAAGACAGTGGTTCTAACAGCAGCCCATTGTCTGGTTAATAGGTATGTCGTCCCGGTTACTAAGAGCATTTCCCAACACATCATTCTGACATTGCAGTAAAAACCAAGTTATGTCTAGCAGAAGGTTTAAGGTAGTTGCCGGTACACCGCGTCGCCTATTGGAGACAAGCAACACCCAAGAATTACAAGTGAAAGAAGTCAAGCCGCATGAAAACTACATCGATGATGCCGTGCACGATGATGTTGGCCTTTTAATTCTCCAAGACAAGGTGCAAACAGATGGAAGTACTGTCGATATTATACCCTTAGCTGACGAGGATCCCCCGGCTGGATTGGAGTGCACAATCATTGGATGGGGCGTTATTTTTGAGGTAAGTATCTAACTGGAAAATATGAAAATTCGGAGCACTCTTTGGGGAGAAAATTAAAAATTTCAGCTTGATTTTCCGTAATAAAGGAATCAGGCTTCAAATAAAATTTTACATAGATATTACAAATAGAATCAGAATGAGAGAATTGAGAGATGTATTTATAATTGACTCCCTATAATCAATTTAACGGCAATAAGCAGAATAATATCTGATTCTCATTTTAATCTGCATTCCTAGGGGGGCCCACTCCCCGACGAGGCAGTCAGAGCTGATTTGACTATCCTTTCAAATGATTATTGCTATACAATAAGCGAGTTTGGAACAGGCATGATATGTGCCTCGAACCCAGAGAATTTCGAAGTGGATTCCTGCCAGGGCGATTCGGGTGGACCGCTATTCTGCGAAGGAAAAGTGTTTGGCGTTGTCTCCTTTGGCGAAGGTTGTGGGCGCCCGGATACCGCCGGCGTTTACGCCGATGTCTACTACTATCGCGAGTGGATAGAGCTAAATGCAGCAACGTGCCCATTGGCGTCCTGGTTTCGGCTTCCACTGATCACGCTGGCAATGCAGCAAGCTCTGCGAGCTCACTGTCTTTAGAATGTGTGCTTGGACTCAAATCAGCTTTAAAGGATCTCTTTAGATGCAATTTTGAGTTGCACTCTGGAAAAAACGAAGGGTGCCTGCTTGAGAAAAGTTGTTTCATCCAATTTTAAATATTACAGTTTCCACCGATTTCGTCAGGAAAAATTTTTAATTTCATCATGACTTTCCTTCATAAAGGAATCCGGTTTCAAATAAAATTTTACGTGGATATTACAAATAGAATCAGAATGAGAGAATTGAGAGATGTATTTATAATTGACTCCCTAAAATAAATTTTAACGGCAAAAAGCAGAATATCTGATTCTCATTAAAATCTGCATTTCTAAATGAAGCTTCAAAAGGTTTAAAAAAGTTGTCGATGCGATAAGTAAAGATTATTTTATATTAAATACTTTTAGGCAGGTCTAACAATAAAAAAAGTATAGAAATCTTTTAATAGTGAGCTTATAAGGAACATTTTTTTAAAAGGGTCGAAGACGCTTCCTTCAGCCTGTTACATACATTTGCCCAAAATACATTATACCCCTTACATGACGATGCAGCCTTATTCAAAAAAGCCGCCTTTGCCGTTTGTCCACGATAAAGCCTGAGGACCCAACCAGGCTTGGCGATATATCACCTAAGCCAACTGTGCTGTAATAAAAATTTATGCTATTTTTGATTCAATAGAATAAACATTTTTAAAAAAAAAAACAAAATTATACCCTCTTCTATTCAATCAATTTAAAAAAAAAATCTAGATAAATCTCTAGAATGTGATCTGCAGTTTCTTAGCTCGCAAGGCAAAGTCTGAACGTGTCATCCACATTTTTGAGCCTGCGGTCTTCTAGTCATGGCCACCTGGCAGTCCTTTGCTATGACTTGCATCCTGGGCTTGAAGTAAGCATTCCTTGTATTCTCTTTCCTATCTTTCCTTGTTTGACTCGTTGGTTCTCGTCCACAAAATGGTTTGAGCTTAGAGTCAGCGATTCTTGCATTCTCTCTGCGTTTCTTCAGGTGGTTTTGGTTTATGTGATTCGTTAGTTCTAGTCCATGTTTCTAGAATGTTTCGATCAGCCAGGAGGGTGTACTCGTCTAATGATAATTGCTCAGCGTAATGCCAGCTTGTCCTGTCATTCAACATTTATGCTCATAAATAGCTTTTAAATATTTTGATAAATGGTTTTGCGCTGAAACATGTTTTAATTCAAGTTTTATTTGTAGTTTTTTATAATCGACTCTCAGCTGGACTCCTCTCGTCATTTGGCAGTCGCTGCAGCACTCCACACACGCGCTCGTTAACAAACTCCGCTTGCCATTATGCTCCTCAATAAGCCCCCTACACCCCACACCCGCCCAACACCCGCCCACATGCGGCGCCCGCCATTTCGCATGTAGGTCAAAACTTTTGTGTAGCAAAAAGCGTTGCATACCTTCGGGCTGTCAATTTATTTTGCGCGCTTCTCGCACATTTCGCCTGCTGGTTTTTTTATATTTATGCTGATTCTCTGCTCGCTGCTCGCTTCTCGTGCACAACACGCGGCTCCAGTCACGGCTTGGCACAAGCCTCCTGCTAGCGCGTCCTTGAAATTTATGCGTTCAACGCAGGCGAGGCGTGGCAAGGCGCCAAGCGTTGAGTGGAGCTCCGCGGCACAAGTTGGAGCTGGCACATGGCGTGTAAAGCTCTCATTATGATGCTAACCACACAAACACACACACGCACACACAGAGACACATTTGGGCAGATAAATAGCCATGCAAAACTAGAACTACTTACGCTTCTTCGCCCTGGCACTGGGCCAATGTGTAAGGCATTGTTTTGCCTTTTCGCCCGAGTAAATTAGGTCCGATAACGTGGCCACAGATCGGACCGGCCAGATAGTCCAAGGCAACAATAACAAAGTCTGGCCAAATCTTAATGTGTGTGTGTGTGTGCTTTGGGACTGCCTTTGCAAATTTCAACCAGCGATTTCTTGTCGCCCAGCCATTTGTTTCACTGTACTTCGCCCACAGTTGACAGCTGTAGCTTTATCGATTTTGTCATAATCGTTTGGCCAATTCGCGCTTATCTTTGGGCGCCTGTCAATCAGCTTAACAGCCGCCAGCCGCAAGCATTGGCCCAGGCATCATTAAAATGACGCTCAGCTGAAAATGTTGCGTATACGCCGCGTTGTGCGCTGCCTCAAAGTGAATTTTGTACTGAAATTATTCAACGACGGCTGTCGAAATATTTTTGTGAACGCTTTTAACTCATAACTTCATGTCAATTTAATGGCAGCAGTTGCCGCCGACAACCTCCTTCTGCGTGCCAAAGCCAGATTATTGCAGTCATAAATTTTTATGATTTTCCATTGGCTGCAGCCAGAGTGCGTGGAGGGGGGCGGGGGAGTGCAGGGCTATTGCGTGGGAAAATGTGTAGCACACAACACGATTTTTATGCGAATTTAATAGCCTTGCAGATGCGATGCAGAAAATTATTATAGCTTTACGCTACGTAGAACAAGAAAGACGGGATTTCTGCAGCATGCGGAAGTTTAAATACCCTGGTGGACAGTTCGATTATACAAGAGCTTAATTTCTGATAGAGTATTTCCTTGAAAGGCTGTTGTGGATAAGCTAAGGAAAAAGGGCACATTTCGGCCATGCGTTACACATTTCGTGTCTAAATGAATATACCCGCTATCAGTTATACCCTGGAAAAGGCAAAGGGACATCTCCCTGCTACACAATTTTTATACGCCAGGATACATTTGGTCGCTGCAGGCGTGTGGCCATTAAAAGTAAATTTAATAAAAAATAGAAAACTTTGGAGATGCAAAAAAATGACAGAAAACGTTAGAAAAAAAAAGAGACGAAAACATATTGACATGCTGCCATCAATCACGCATGACAGGCAGTTCGTGGGGCGATGGGGGGCGTGGCAACCACGAAAATTTATCAACAGAGCAAACACACACCAGAGAGTAGCAACAGGACCGGAACAGGAGGCACAGGACACGGCAGGTAGCAGCAGCAGCAGCAGCAGCAGAAGTAATCTAATCCAATTACTCAACAATGGCAAACAAGCGGCGAGTGGGCGTGGCACCCCCTTGGGTTGCGTGCGGGGCGCTAATGGACAACAACGAGCCGAAAAGCAACAAAAAAAAAACGAAGCGAAGGGAAACAGGAGCTGCTGCTCGCTGCTAGAAGGATATCACATGTCTAACGTTAAAGTTAAATAACCAAAGGCAATCACAAAGTATCAATAGCTCCAGGGCAGGGCAGGGGGGGGGGGGCGTACTGAGGTCGGGGAGCTGGTAGAACATGTTAAGCCCGCAGGCGCATATTTACATTGTGTATGGAGTCCTGGCAAATCCTTACATTTGATCATTAACTGGTAGCGAGTGCAAATCCTGTCAGCAGGCTCCAAATTGAAATTCATGCGCATTCAATGAATTTTTGTGGGTTTGGCCCCCATTGTCATCTGTCCGTCTGTCGGTCGGTCGGTCGGTCGGTCGGTCGGTCGGTTGGTCGATTCGGGGCTGCATATATTTCGAGCAGGATATGGGCCGGCCTGCAGGACATGGTATTGACGAAATTATCATTTTTGTTGCTTCAATAAAATGACAAAGCAAACTAATATCGAACGGTCCTTTCGTCCCTTAAGCAGGCTTAGGCATGAAATTGAAAATGCGCCGCCCGCCCTCAGAAAGCTTTTTGTTGTGGCTGCGTCAAGGCGAGGGGTGGGGGGAGCAAGGGTGTGTGCTGGGGTAGTCGTAAGGGGGTTTTCTTATGCTGATTGGATGTGGCCAACAGTCATGTTGTTGATGAGCTGCCATCGATGCGACGGACAAGGCATTAGACCAGCTGCAAATACTAAAATCTTAAAGACTTTGTCATATTTATTCCGAGAATCAATTGGAAATGCATAAAGAACGGTGTCAAGGTTTTGTTTGAAGGTTTGTTACGATAGAAGAAAGCATCTTGATTCGAATGACAAGCTAAAGTGTATCTAAACATGCCCATTTGTCTGTCTGTCTGTCCGTCTGTCCGTCGGAATGCGTCAAGCTCGAAACACACAAGAGCTAGGGACTTAAACTGGAGGTTTAAAGGAGCTAGACTATTCAAATTGATTATGTAGGTTTTCGCATGGTATATACAGATTAGATATGTATGACTAGGGATATCTCCTCCCATTCCTCCAAGAATCTAGAGCCTTTTGCTTGATAGATCAAACGACCCTTATGCTATACAGCGAAACGGAGCCAACGGATGGTTCCCAACTTGAATTCTCATAATATAACTGAAACGTAGTCTTGTTAGATATAGAGATATATATAGATAGATAGAGGTAACATGCCTTCCGCTCGAATCCATCATAGATTTGACTGCCACAAAGGGCTGCAATTTCCAGAATAATTGTCGTCCACAAAATGTCTTAGTTAACAGTTTGTTGCAGGCACAACCCTTTTTACAACACATCCATCAAATAACAATTATGCCGCCCACAGTGCAAATATTTGTCATTGACACTTTGTACTTAAATCGTTTATGCAAATATGCCAGAGTCAGAGCCAGAGCTGGAGCGAAGGATAGCAAGGATTTCATTAGAGGCCAAGTGGAACCGCCTTATCAAAGGCGGCGCACACACATACTAATTTCAATATCAAAACCGCCTCAGGATACACTGCATTAATATTCACTTTCGGCTGTTTGGCTAAAACGAGTGGGCGTGGCATTGTTGATAAAGTGCTGCCAGAGTTGCCGTTTAGTCCTGCGGGGATGATAGTCCGGGGGGTGGGGAGGGGAGCGGGGCAGCAGCTGCAAAAGAGGCGACAAATTGAACAGCCCCACAAAGTCGGGCAGCCCATAACAAATCCTCACACTACCCAAACACACATTCACACACACACCCCCACACACACACACAGCTGGGGACATGGGCACAAGCCAAGCGCTGGCCAAAGGGTCAATTTGCTGCGCATCCAAAGGCCAAACGGGCAGCAGAATTTGCAAAGGCCGAGCTTAAAATAGTTGAAAGCCAAAAGAGGCGACAAGTTAATAAACATTAGTTAGGGTGGACCGGCATATTTATAAACGCATTAGGAATGCTTCACTTCATCAAATATTTTAAACGGGTTATCTCATTTTTTAAAGTTATGTTAACAGAGTTTCGTAGCTGAAAGTTCTGCGGGGCATTTTGGCTGAGCTTAAAGTATTCTATGGAATAGTTAGTTAGGGCAGCTGGCAAACGAGCAGCTTGAATATTAACACAAATACAAGTCAAAGTCAATGTTTTGGCAACGCTTCAGCTGCAGCCAGGAGCTGTTCTACTT